TCCCAGGTTCAAGCAATTCTTCTGCCTCAGCTTCCTGAGTAGCTGGGACTACAGGCATATGCCACCATGCCCAGCTAATTTTTTTTGTATTTTTAGTAGACACGGAGTTTCACCTTATTGGCCAGGCTGGTCTCAAACTCCTGACCTCAAGTGATCCACAAGCCTCGGCCTGCCATAGTGCTGGGATTACAGGCATGAGCCACTGCATCTGGCTAATTTTTTTGTAATTTTAGTAGAGATGGGGTTTCTCCACGTTGGTCAGGCTGGTATCGAACTGCTGACCTCAAGTGATCTGCCTGCCTCTGCCTTCCAAAGTGCTGGGATTACAGGCGTGAGCCACCCTGTCTGGCTTAAATTCTTTTTATTTGTATAGATTGAGGGAGTAAAAGTACACATTTACATGCCTATATTGCAAGCTCCTGCCCAGCAAAATAAATAATCAATAGTAAACAGCCTATAGAATGGGAAAAGGAAAAAGTAGTTGCAAGCTATACATCTAACAAGCGCTCAAGTGATCCCCCACCTCAAGCAAGTAGCTGGGAGCACAGACAAGCACCACTATGCCTGGCTAATTTTTAACATTTTTGTAGAGACCAGGTCTCACCATGTTGCCTAGGCTGGTCTTGAATTCCTGGACTCAAGCAATCCTCCTGCCTTGGCCTCTCAAAGTTCTGAGATTACAGGCATGAGGCACAGCAACTGGCTTTGCCCACTTTTTAATGGGGTTGTTCTTTTCTTCTTGAGTTGAGTTCCTTCTAGATTCTAGATATTAGCCCTTTGTTAGATGTATAGCTTGCAACTATTTTTACCCATTCTGTAGACTGTTTACTGTTGATTGTGTATTTTTCTGGGCAGGAGCTTTCAATAGAGGCATGTAAATGTGCCCTTTTACTCCCTCAATCTATACAAATAAAAAGAATTTAACATTTCTGGAATGTTAAATCCTTTACAACTTTTAAGGATTTAACATTTTTGGTAGTGCAACTGAACTGGTGATCAAGTCTTGTAGCTTTTGTATGTCTGAAAAAGTCTTTTTTTAAACAATATTTTTTGCCAGGTATAGAATTCTAGGTTGATAACTTTTTTCCTTTCAGTACTTTAAAGCAAGATACTTCTTGCTTGCAGTGTTCCTGCTGAGCAATGTGATCTTTGTCTATACATAATATTTTTTAAGTTTTTTGTTTTTAAGATTTTCACTTTATCACCGGCATGACAATTTTGATTATGATATTGCTTGGCACAGTTTTTTCCATGTACCTGTGCCTTAACTGGTTTGGGTATGGACTTATCGGTTTTAGTTTGGAAAGTTTTCAGTTATTATTTTTTTCCACATCTCCTTCAGGGATTCCAATTTTCCATTTATTGGGCCCCTTATAGTCCCACAGCTCAGTCATGGTCTTTTCAAATATTTTTCTCTTTTTTCCCTCTCTGTGACTTATTTTGTGCAGTATATACTACTATGGCTTCAACTTTATTAATCTGCTATTAATTTGATTAAGTGTATTTTTCATACTATGAAGTTTTTAATCTCTAAGAGTTTGATGTAGGTATTTTTTTTTTATTTTCCACATTTCTACTTGACTTTTTGAACATATAGAATACAGTTATAATGACTGTTTTAATGTCTTTCTCTGCTAATTTTTACATCTATGTAATTTCTGGGTTGGTTTGATTCAATATCCTCCTCATTATGGGTCCTGTTTTCCTACTTCAAGCATGCCTTTAATATTTGATTAGCTACTAGACATTGTGACTTTTACCTTGGTGGGTGCTGGATATTTTGATATTTCTTAACATCTTTAGTCTTTTTTTGGGATGCTGTTAAATTACATAAAAACATTTTGATCTTTTTTTGGCTCTAGCTTTTATAATTTGTTTGGCAGAATGGAGCTGTCTAGGCTAATTATATTCTACTATTAAAGGAAGATCTTCCTGAGTACTCTTCGCAATACGCTGTGAATTAATGAGTTTCTCCAGTGTATTTGATGGGAACAGGCGCTATTGCTGGACCTATGTAAGTTTCAGACACACTTTTCTCTTACCTTTTCAGATGACTGTTTTCGGCCAAGACCATGTCTGCCCTGCGAGCACAGAGCCTCGCCCTTGCTGCTCCACCGCCCATCCATACCTGCTGTCAGCTCACCATGGATGATGATATTGCCACGCTCATTGTTGACAGTGGCTCTGACATGTGCAAGTCAGGTTTTGTGGGCGATGATGCCCCCTGGGATGTCTTCCCCTCCATTGTGGGACACCCCAGGCACCAGGGCCTGATGATAGGCATGGGTCAGAAGGACTCCTATGTGGGTGACGAGGGCCAGAGCAAGAGAGGCATCCTCACCCTGAAGTAACCCATTGAGCATGGCATCGTCACCAACTGGGATGACATGGAGAAGATCTGGTACCACACCTTCTACCACAAGCTGTGTGTGGCTCCTGAGGAGCACACTGTGCTGCTGACCAAGGCCCCCCTCAATCCCTAGGTCAACAGCAAGAAGATAACCCAGATCATGTTTGAGACCTTCAACACCCCAGCCAAGTACATGGCCATCCAGGCTGCGTGCTGTTCCTGTATGCCTCTGGCCATACCACTGGCATCCTGACGAACTCTGGTGATGGGGTCACCAACACTGTGCCCATCTATGAGGGGTATGCCCTCCCCCATGCCATCTTGCTTCTAGACCTGGCTGGCGGGGACCTGACTACCTCATGAAGATCCTCATCAAGTGAAGCTACACCTTTACCACCATGGTCGAGTGGAAAATCATGCATGACATCAAGTAGAAGCTGTGCTACATCGCCCTGGACTTTGAGCAGGAGATGGCCATGGTGGCTCCCAGCTCCTCCCTGGAGAAGAGCTATGAGCTCTCTGATGGCCAGGTCATCACCACTGGCAATGAGCAGTTCTGCTGCCCCAAGGCACTCTTCCAGTCTTCCTTCCTGGGCATGGAATCCTGTGGCATTCCTGAAACTACCTTCAACTCCATCATGAAGAGTGACATGGACAGCTGCAAAGACATGTATGTCAACACAGTGCTGTCTGGTGGCACCACCATGTATGTACCCTGGCATCGCCAACAGGATGCAGAAGGAGATCACTGCCCTGGCGCCAAGCATGATGAAGATCAAGATCGTTGCTCCTTCCCAGTGCAAGTATTCTGAGTGGATCGGTGGCTCCATCCTGGCCTTGCTTTCCACTGCCCAGCAGATGTGCATCAGCAAGCAGGAGTATGACATGTCTGGCCCCTCCATCATCCACGGTAATGCTTCTAGGTGGACTGTGACTTACTTGCATTATGCCCTTTCAGATGACTGTTTTGTTGGTTTTGGATAATTTCCTCATTTGTATATGCTGATTAGCATTCTGAAGAATACTCAAGGGGTAGATTCTGTAGATATCTGGGGTTCTCTCTCTTTGCAACTCTCTTTACCTGGTACTCTGTTCTATGAAATCTAGCTCCCTTTGTTTTCCCAGACTCTTAGTGCCATCTCCTCAACTCAAGGATTCCAAAGACCTCTTCTCTGTTCTCTTCCTAGAAATTCTTTCAAGGCAGTAAGTTGGTGTAATTATAGGGCTCGCTTTGTTCCCTCTCAGAGATTATTGTTCTTTGTTGTCTGATGTCCAGAGTCTTGAAAACAATTGTTTCATACATTTTAACTGTTTATGTTTGTTTCTTTTTCTGGTTGTTTCAGGCAGGAAGTAAATCCAGTCCCTGTTACTCCATCTTGGCCAGAAACAGATGTGGAACTTTTTCCACTGTCTACCTCTTAACGGTAATCACAGAGGGCCTGACAGAGAAGGGTGGTCTTTTCCTCCTCTCTTTCTTCACAGACTCCATTAGGTTTTAGGTCCCTAAATTCAGATTAGCAGGAGGGGAAAGTAAGAGGGCTTACTTATACTTCCTAAACTAAGCTTTGCTATCCAATTCAGGTTTTACCATTGCTATGTTCCAGTGGTTACCAGATACATGCCCAGCTATATTTGTACTTCATTTCCATTTGTATAGTGGTATTTGTTTTTTTGTTACAAAAACTCCTTTGATTTTGGGAGTTCTGGAGAAATGAAAGGGTGAATGATAGGACTGCCTAAATATCACTTCAAACCTCTAATATCAGTCATCCAGAACCTTCAAATTTTAGAAGTGTGTGTGTGTGTCACACAATCACAACAAAACTTGTGTTACTAAGATACACTATGAGTGGTTGGTTCAAATGAGAGAATAATTCTGATGGATTGAAATGTATAAACTGCCAACTTTCTCCGTAAAATTACAGAAGTGTGGAAGCATAGGAGAAGCAGTAAGAGAAAAGAAGGTATTGGTGATCAGCAAAGGTGTAGGTGATTAAAATTAATGACAGGAGTGGATGAGTTACTCTCAAGGCAGAAAAGGAAATGACCTTTGAAGACACATAGGAGTAGATGGTCAAGAACTTAGGTGGGAGAAGTGAATAACACGTGATCTGCAATACTATGGTCATAGAATGTCAAAGATACGGACCTTTCTATTGGGATAAAGGTGCTAGCCGTACTATTGTCGTAAGAACATAACAGGCAAATAGTCAAATGTGATATCTTATTGGCTTCTGGAGGTACATTAGTATTCCAACAAATGTAAGAATGAATAATCATTGATTGATAGTTACATATACTCTTTCTGGAAGGTTCAAAATAGTCCAAGTTTTACTATACTATTGCAAAAGAACGAATGACCAAGTTTTATTGATATAGCAGGAAAATAACTGATTTAAAGCAGAGTCTCCTTCACCACTGACTACACCTCTATGGCTACGTAACTATAATAAGACATACCATTTAAAGCCACTGCATTACCTTATACCAGCAATAAATGTAGTGAGAGATACTGTTTTGTTGATCAATGTCAAGCTCTGGAATAATGTAATACTGGTAGGGCACAGAAGCCTACATACCGAATGTCTTCTGACATAGTCATCTACTTGTTGCTTCAGTTCAACTCGGCGTGCATCAGTGAGTTCTTGGAGTCCTCGCCAAGGAGCAAATAGTTTCTTTTTCTTACGGCACTTTGCTAGGAATTTAAGCGCCTGGAGGGAAAAAAAAAATTGAAGACTTGTGATTTTTCTCCCCTAACTAATAAAACTATTTTCTCACTGCAATATATGGTAGTGACTACATTGCAATGCTGATTAATTCAGAGTGTATATGAGGAGGGGAATGGGACTGTGACAAGATGCAGGAGAACAGTGACTTTTAAAATATATAGTCTTCTATAGATATTACAAGGATATGTTCATGTATTATTTGTGCAGTAAGTAATAAAGAGGAAAAAAAAGTAATGGATTCTAGTCTCAATTATAGTCCCTTATAAACTATGATTCTGTGCAAATCACTTGATCTCTAGAGGACAGGTTCTATGTCTATAGAAAACAGGGACCTTAGTCCTACGGGCTTACAGGATTGTAAATACCAAGGAGACAGTATTTCTGTCTGAATTCTTTCTGATGTCCTTCAGAATGGACTCTGGTAAAAAGAAACCTTGTAATAGGCATGATATGGTACACATTTGCAATTATACTTCCCAGTTGTTTTCACTTTTCTCATGTCTTTGTAGGTTTTATTTTCATCAAAGTATATGTTCACATTGTTTAAAGCAGGGTCAGCAAATCATGGCCCACAGGCCAAATCCAGCCTGCTGCCTGTTTTCGTAGGGCTCGAGAGTTAAAAATGTGTGTGTGGGGGGGGTTTTTTTTTTTTGCATTTTACATTTTTAAACAATTTGAAGGGAAAAGAATATTTAGCGGCATGTAAAATTACAAATATTTGGTGACATGTAAAATTATATGAAATCTAATGTTTACAAATAAAATTTTATTGGAACACAGCCATGCTCATTTGTTTACTATTGGCTATGGCTGCTTTTGTGCTCTAACTGAATACATGTGACAGATTGCATGACCTGCAAAGCCTAAAATATTTTATAATATAGCCCTTCCAAGAAAAGTTTGCTGATGTAATTCTATTATTTAATGTGTCAGTTTCAATAAGAATTAATAGAATCTTAAATAATTCTTACTAGAATTACCCACTTACCCTGTCCCCCCACCCAAAGGCAACAATTTAATTCAGGTTTTTCTTTTGATATTTAGCTCCATCTACTTTTCTGTGATTTTTTTTTTCAGATATAGGTATTATCTATTGATTTTCTTATATGAAAGATATGAATTTAGATCTCTTTCACTACTTCTACTCCCCACCCATCCTATATTATTACATCATAATTTTAGTTAATGTTCAATGTTTACAAAATTATGACCACATAAAGGCTATTCACTTTTGAACAATATAGTATACTATAATTACTTTTCCTTCCTTGCACATTTTTATTTTCTCTGGAATTATTAGTTCTCTTTTTTCCCTTGGTTTGTTTTCCATATGCTTTCTACTGATTATATTTTACAAACTCTGCTCTAATTGTCAACACATTAAAACACATCAGGCATTTTATCAAATTCATTTTCTTGGACACATTTTCTAGAGCTTCTTGACCTGCTGCAGTTTGAATTGACTGCTCTCTATACCTTGGGCATGGCTGTCCTCCTGCAGCCTCCATTCACCATCATCTTGGTGACTACTTTTCATCTTTCCTTGTGTTCCTTGGATTCCATGTTGCATTCTTTATCAGGTTACTCCCTTCTTATCTAAAAATGTCTTTGGTCTGTCCTTACCTTTAATTAATAATTTGGTTGGGAATAGAATTCTAGTTGGAAATCATTTTCCTTCAAACATATGACAGTCTTACTTCATTACTTTTTAGCTTCCAGTGTTCCTATCCAGATGTCCTTTTGTTCCCAGTACATTTCACAGTATTATGAAATAAATATGGAAGTGTTTCTGTCACTGTATTGGACACTTAGTCCCCTTAATCTAAAATTCATGACATTCAGTTCTGGGAAATCTTAAGTTATTTGATTTTTCTCTCCTCTGTTTTTTCTTGTTCTTGATTTCAAATGTTTGGCTGTTTGACATTGTAGACTGACAGTCTTTTCTGTCTTTTTTTTTTTAAATTAAAGATTCTGCCTTTTCTTTTTCAAATGATGTTTCACATGTTGATCAGGCTGGCCTAGAACTCCTGAGCTAATGCCATCCTGCCGCCTTACCATTCTGAGTAGCTGGCATTACAGATGTGTGTTACTGGCAAAATCTTTTCTCCTTGCTTTCTGTGAGATTTCTTTAACTCTTCACCTACAGTCCCTTTATTAGTCTTTCAGTTTTCCCTGTTGAATTTTATTCTCTGTGCTCCCTTTTATATGGCATCTTGGTTTTGTCTCATATATTACCTTTCCTTATTTCTCTGAGGATAGTAGTAACAGATTAAAAAACTTTTTTCCTTATACCTGCAACATTTATATTCTATCAATTAGTTTTATTCCATTGGTTTTGTCTTTGACTTTACTTAGCTGTTCAGTGATACTATCTTTCAGCTGATAAGAGTGCGCACTAAGAAGTTATTTAAAAAATTTCCCTAATACCCTTTTTTTTTTGGTATTTTTTTGAGACAGGGTCTTACTCTGTTACCCAGGCTGGAGTGCAGTGGCTTGATCATGGTTCACTGCAGCCGTAACCTCCTGGGCTCAAGTAATCTTCCCACTTCAGCCTCCCAAGTAGCTGGGACCACAAGTGTGCACCACCACGTCCAGCTAATTTTTTGTAGAGAAAGGGTCTTGTTATGTTATCCAGGCTGGTCTCAAACTCCTGGGCTCAAGGGATCCTCCTGCCTTGGCCTCCCAAAATGCTGGGATCACAGGCATAAGTTGTCACTGTGTCTGGTCTTGTTTTTAATATGGTACTTGAGTTTTCAACTCTGCTTGCATCCTTCTGTTGAGACTTTCTTCTTTCCTTCTATGCTCCCCTTTCCTTGAATTTTCTCTTTTAGCAAATTTCCTCAATTTTTAGCTACTGGAGAAACAATGCCTCTGTTTTTACATAAAGTAAGAGAGGAACAGAAGGTAGATAAATGTTCTGGCCTTTCTTTTCCTGCCAAAGGCATTAATAACCAGTTCTTCCTGAGAGACAAGTTTACTGAAAGGATATTGCTATTCCTTTATATTACCTTTTTTTATTTTTTTCTTTTGAGGCATTCCTATTGCCCAGGCTGGAGTGCAGTGGTGTTATCATGGCTCACTGCACCCTCAACTTTCCAGGCTCAGGTGATTTTTCCCCCACTTCAGTTTCCCGAGTAGCTGAGACTACCAGTACATGCTACCACACCTGGCTAATTTTTGTGTTTTTAGTAGAGATGAGGTTTTGCCACATTGCCCAGGTGGGTATATTACTTTAAATGAGGCTAATGAATTATTTCCCATTTTTTCTTAGCAAGGTCAACTGCAGTGTTAGTATAATGTGAGTCTTAGATGTAATTTTAAATTTTCTTAGTAGTCACATTAAGAATATTAAAAATGGGCAAAATAATATTTACTGAGTTAGATAAAACATAACTTAATATACACAAAATATTAGTATTTTGTCTTGTAATCAATATAAAAAAGCATTAATGAGATACTTTACACTTTTTTGTCATGCTACATTTTCAAAATCTGGTGGGTATTTTACACTTATGACACATTTTAATTTGGACTAGCTACATGTCAAGTTCTCCATAGCCAGCTACATATACTTAATGACTACTGTACTGAACAGTGCAGGTCTCTAGCGTGTCTTAGAAAAGGCTGCTTTAGGCCAGGCACAGTGGCTTACACTTGTAATCCCAGCATTTTGGGAGGCTGAGGTGGGAGGACCACTTGAGCTCAGGAGTTGGAGACCACCCTGGCAACTTAGCGAGACTTAGTCTCTACACACACACACACACATACACACACACACACACACACACACCCCTAGCTGGGCCTGGTAGTGCAAGTCTGTGGTCCCAGCTATTATGGAGGCTGAGGCGGGAGGATCTCTTGAGCCTCACAGATCAAGGCTGCAGTGAGCTGTGATCTTGCACTGCACTCCAGCCTGAGAGGCCAGAGAGAGACTGTGTCAAAAAGAAAAAAAAGTAAAGGATGCTTTAAAAATATGGCAAAATGTATCCTTTATTGACTATTGATTGCCTTGTTCTAATTTTCTCTACTTTTCTACTTCTTTTCTCAGTGTAATTTCCCATTTTTATTTTGCTTTTCCTTCTTTGAAGTTATTCTTGGCCAGGCATGGTGGGTCACGCCTATAATCTCAGCACTTAGGGAGGCAGAGGCAGGACTGCTTTAGCCTAGGAGTTCAAGGCTTTGATGAACTATGAACACACCACTGTACTCTAGCTGGGTGACAGAGTTGAGACCATGTCTCTTAAAAAAAAAAAAAGTAATCCTCTTATTTCCATTTCCATTTTGGCTAACTTTGCTTTGACTTCATCTTGTTTTTATTAATGAGATGCAAAGACTATAAACATGACCTTGACCCATCCCTTTTTGCTCTTAAAAACTCACTCCTTTTTAGCTACAGCAGATATGAGACAAATGTGACTAATCTTCCTTTTTTGCCAGTGAAAAGTATAAAAGCCAAAACAGCTTTACCTTCATGGCCTTCGGATACCTTCAGATACTCTCCTGTGATGACTTCTACATTTTTCTCTAAGAAATGGAATGCAAACCAGGATATTTCACTTTATAGTAGAGGATCCTTTTACAAAGTATTGGGCTCATCTAAATCAGGCAAGGTCGTAAGTTAACTTAATAAGGGCCTAGCTAATTCTATGAAAGGGAAAACTTTAAAAAGGAGGTATTTGCGAGGTAAAAGTATTATAAAGGCCAAACATTCCTCCAAAGGAAGTGTCTCCAACCCTGATATCAAATGGTTAATCCTTAGATGGCTTTGTTTAGCAGAAGGTAAATATCAGGAGTATGTGTGATTCAATGATGGTGCAGGACTGTTTGTTACAGATATAACCTGAGAACTCCAGAAGAGCCTGAAGAAGGAGTAGGAGGCAGACATCTCTTCTTATTTCTCTAGTGTTTATTCTACTATGTTTTTTGGATGGTTAAAAAAAAAAAAAAAAAAAAAACTTTGTAAAAAGTTAATCACAGAGACTGTTCAAAATCTATCCGTATAAAACTGAAATTGACCTAAAAATTCAATAATAAAGGATTGTTAAACTAAATGCTACAGGACCTGAAATCCTAACATGAAACTTAACCATGTGGAAAACTGGTAATTAAATTAAAAAAAAAAAAGCCTTCTGCTGTGCTTTTCAAAGGCAACAAAATAGTACTATGCCTTGACAGATCGCAGAAAAACTGCCATTTAAGAATATGATTCTACAATTAAAATGTTATAATGATTTAAATATATCTAATATCTCATCTGTGCATTTAAAAAATGAAATATCACATGCTGCTCTTGCATTGAACTTTGTAATTACAAAATACATTACTATAAATTATGGCATCTGATCCACATAACAACTGAGTAAAAAGGGTAAGGGTAAATAAACATCTATTCATACATCAAGCACATGTGATAAGCTAACAACAATAAGACTTAGCTCCTTATCCTTGAAGAACTCACAGCCCAAGTAAGGAGGGAAATAATTAACAAAACAACATTACAGTATAGTAAATGATGTACAAGGTACAAGGTTCTAAGGCAGTACTAAGGACCGAGTGTCTAAATCAGCTTGGCCAGAGGTAAGGGGGTTTTCTTTTAGAAAGCTAAGTGTCTTGACCAATGCTTTACCATAGGTAATAAGCAAAGTCAGGTTTGAACTCATGTTTTTGCCTCTTCATTCAGAGCTCTTTTTTTACTACATTGGACTCACTGCTCTTTGAAGTGTGACAGCTGCTTTATACTCTGTGAGAGACTGCCTCTGTTGGCGAAAATTTTTCCTTTCCCTGTACCCTCTCCAATGTTTCTGGATAATCAATGCTGATTTCTCTTCCATTTCCCGATTGTGTTTCTCCACCTGACCTAAAAAGATGATAGACACTATTACAATATACTCACTGCTATGCTTTCTTATGTTTTGGAATCATAACAATGATAATAATAATCTTGCATTCTTTTTATCTTTGTCAATATTGTTTACTAATTTTCCCAATTCTATTATTTTACAATGGTTCTAAGATTTAAGAAGCAATGCTTTCCCAGATTATGCAGCTTCTTTAGAGAAAGAACTCATATAATATTTTTGTGGTAATGAGCAAATGGCTGAAAATCCAACACTAAGAACATTTGAAAAAAAGAACCATAAGTACATGGTTACGAAGTCATTCAGTACCACCAGATGGAAAGGGCAAAATGTGTGTATGTATTCTCTAGTCTACGTGCTTCCAAATTTCTCTTAAGTCACTCAGTCAGTTATACAGATGACTTTCTTTTTGCTTTCTTGGAGTTGTTCAGTATACAGCCCAGGGTTCACAATACACACATGACAGACTAAGGTAGTAAAATTGTTTATAAAACGAGGGATGTATCTGAGGGAGTATAAGAAACTGGTAGAATTTAATGATCAATTGCATATGGAGGTAAAAGAGGGAAAGGACTCTAGCATTTCTTAAATGCGAAACTGAGTAAGTTCTTGGTGCCATTACCTGAGATTGTGAATAGAGGAAAAGGAAATCTGAGGGGTAAGATGACTTTGGTGTTTGAGATGCCTGTGGATATTCAGGTAAAGCTGGATCCAATAGGCAGCTGGCTACAGAGCTGTGTTATTCAATACAGTAGACACTATCCACAACTGGCTACTTGGGTTAAAATAAAGTAAAATTAAAATTCAGGTTCTTCAGTGCTCTAGCCACATTTCAAATACTCAGTAGCCATCTCTAGCCATTGGCTACCATACTGGATGGTACAGATATACAACATTTCATTTTTGTAAAAAGTTCTATTGGGCAGTTCTGCTCGAAGAGGTTAGGAGAGAAGGTGAAGATAGAGACCAGATTTGAAACTGCTTAGCACTCAGCTGAGAGTTGAGCTAGTTATGGATGGATACCACAGGAAGAGCAAAGTGAGAGGAATGGAACCTTAGAAAATATCTGTATTTAATAGAGATGAAGTAAAATAAAGGACTAGTGAAGCACCCTGGGACTGAATAACAAGAAGAGAGGTAAAATAATTTAAAAGAATACTGAAACCACTAAGAGCTCCCAGACCACACCTTATTATTAATTTCAGCTTAGTCTTTCAAAGGCGGCAAGAAGATGTCACAACGTTTGTACTAAGGAATAAGTTAAGTTCTGATGGCAGAATGTAATAATATTCCAACTCCTTATTTCAATTCAAGAAGTTTCTTTGTGTCTCTAACAGCTATCTTTATGCATAAATTTTTATGTTTCTCTAATTTATCTGAATGATAAGAAAAGAAAACTGGTGGGGAGATTGTTCATCATCAACGAATAGGTCTGAATCAGAAAAAAAGTAACTGTTTTTGAACTCAGAAGATTTAATAAAATTTATCTGAAAAATAGACAAAAAGGACAAAAGTACAAATTTTTAAAAAATCATCATGTAGCTAGAAAACTTGGTTTGTTAAAAGATAAGCTAAATATTCTTATATTTATAATGTGATACTGCCACTCACCTGGATGAACTATTTCCAGCATATTCAGCCGCAATTCTCGGGAAAGTCTCATGGCTCTCTGTCTTTGAAGTTGCAATCGTAATCTGAGGTCCTCTTCTTCCTTCTTCCTGTTTATCTCCAGCAACATCTTTGTTCGTTTAGATCTGTGATGTAAATAGTGTATTATACATAATTTTCATAAATCATATGTTTAAAAAAATGTATGAAAAAATATATAAACTCACTAGTAATCAAATAAATGTAAAAAGATAATTTTATAAAAAAGGTAATTTCTAGTGTCATTAAGATATGATAAAATATTTTGTCACCTGCTGCTGTTGTACAACCTTTCTGGGGAACTATTTGGGTATATGCATTAAAAGTCTGGAAAAATATTTGAAGTATATAAATCAAAAGCCTTAAAAATGATGACCAATTAATTCCATTACAAATAATTTTCCTAAAGAAATAATCAGATATATACGTACAAATTTATGTTAAAAAATGTTCTCCACAGTATTACAACAGTAACAAGTTGAAAACAAACTTTCCATCTCACAACAGGGAGTTAGATAAATAGATTCATTCACCTGATGGGATAGGATTCTATAAACTGCGAAAAAACAGCATGTTCAAAGAATATTTAGTGACATGAGAATACACCAATGATCTAATGTCAGGTTAAAAAGAAAATCGGGATATAGAAGAATGATATCCAAATTGTGTGAAAAAAATTTATATTTACTTACACAGAAAAATAAATAATTAAAAAACATTAAAATTTCAAGTGATTTTTACTGTATAATGTGATTACAGTTGGTCTTTATTTTCTTCTTATGTCTACTTCTCAATTATTGACAACTGAACATTACTTTTATAACTGGTTATGAAAATTTTCATGTGGCCACAAACATTTTATAGAATTATCATTTCCATATTACCTGTTTTTATTCATCAAAATTTCTCCTTAGCCATTCCTAATTTTTGTTGCTTCCAATATCACTATGTAAGGGGACTACAAGTGGTCAGTTTACAGTAAATATACTCAAAATGCTTTCAGATACCCATAGAGAAAGAAAACAAGGATAAGAAGAGAGGCAGAATAAACAACTTAAGTTTAATTGTATAAATTTAATTTTTTATGTGTCCCTCAAGAACGTTTTCTTTTAGATCTTTTTCTTAGAATTAAATGTAAACAAATGTGGTACCTTGACTATAACTCTGTACTCTTAAAAGCCAGACTTCATTATAGTATAGAGAGGATTATGATGATTTTCAACTCAAAATAGTTTGATAAAATTTTGTAATTATTTTGATTGTTTTGATAAAATTTTGTATTCCTGTGGTTGTTTCTCAAAAATTCTTAACTTTCATCAATTATAACTTAAATTTTCTCTAGCTTTCTACTTAGGACAGAGTAGAGGATTTATTTGATTTGAAACTTCTTTCTTATCCCTATTATCAAAAGTAGAGAAGACCTCAAAACTGTATGTGTATCAAAAGGTTCTAGAGAAGATGTAGGGCTAGTTGAATAGTTCTAAGTGTCTCTTGCTCCTTCTCTTTGTGAAAGTTGGAAATGAAGTAGGTAAGGGCCTCTCCCTTCCCAAAGAATAGCTGATAGCAACTTGCCTCTTCTACAGAACTTCTTCACCTCAAAACTTCTGGGTTGTACAGCATGCAGATAATAATGTTTTATCTTTTATCCATTCACAGAGGGTAAAAGAGAGCAGGCTCTAAGCAGAGTCTCCTTTCAAACTGATTTTTTAAAAAACTACCTCTGGCTAGGCACGGTGATTCACACCTGTAATCCCAGTACTTTTGGAGGCCAAGATGAGTGGATCACCTGATTTCAGGAGTTAGAGACCAGCCTGACCAACAAGGTAAAACCCCATCTCTACTAAAAATACAAAAATTAGCCAGGTGTAGTGGTGCGTGTCTGTACTCCCAGCTACTTAGGAGGCTGAGGAAGGAGAATTGCTTGAACTTGAGACCTGGAGGTTGCCGAGATCACGCCACTGCACTCCAGCCTGGGTGAAAGAGTGAGATTCTGCCTCAAAAGAACAAACAACAATAGCAAAAAACTACCTTTATTTCTAACTTCTAATTGGTTATAGATTATAATGTCCAGCGCTACATTTTCAATATTTTAAATATACTATTAATATGGAAAACACAGAAATTATTAAAATTGCATTGCTAGAATATTTAATCTGTCAGAAAACTGGGTTTGAGAAACAATTTAGGCATGTAGGCTATAAAATATGGGAAAAATGAAAAGACTATGGAGCATGAAGGTGAAGGTAAAATACAAATCAGAAAGACAGGATAAAAGTGAGGTTTGGTGATTTAAATACTGACTAAATTGTAAATAGGTGTGCTTATTGGATTCATATGTTTTATTTTCATGTTCAAAAACATTTATTAGGAACTGATGTGATTGTGAATGTAATTCCCCTATTTATTATTAAATAACATCTAGTTAATTTTGTTAAGAGTTTCTATAATCACTAAAAAATCAAAGGATTATTCTTCCAACTGGTTACTTTGTAAGAATTAGTAGGAACTGGATCATCTGGCATGTGTATTATACTCCTGAAAATGAAATGACTGATCAGATATCATATTCTGAAAATAAGTAAATTCCATGATTCACATTTGATAATATGAATTTTAACCATTAAAGTCGGAGTTGACCAAACTTTCTGCTGCCAAAACACTGTGCTTCAGAGAGAGAGAGAAAAAAAAGATACTACTGCATTTAAGAAACTCAGTTTCAGGGAGAAATCAACAAATGTAATTAAAATACTTAAAAATCAGCACTATGATAGAGGTAGGTAAATTGTGAGATTTCTCTAAGATAACTAGATCAGCTGTTAGCTGCTTCAGAAAATCTAACTGAAGAAGAGTGGTTAAGAGACAATAAAGTTTCTAAATATGAGAAATGACTAAATAAAAAAGAAACCACTATGAAAGTGTGTTAGCAAGGGTGTGACTATAAAAGAATGCCTCTTGCTGAATCTAAAACATACCAATCAATAATGGACCCATAAGCATGACTGGTGGGCAGTCCCTCTCCTAAAACCATAGGAGGGGCAAATTACTGAGATAAGACCTGAGCACAAAAAGACAGAAATAACCTTTGAAAAAAAGCCAAGCTACAAAGGAAGCAAGAGACATTTGCATGAACTGTAACAACTAATAGAAGAGGGAAGGTGCTGAACTGGAGCAAACTGAAAATTAAAAAATTAAATAAATCCAACAGGCTAGAACTGCATTTCAGTATATTCTGGGACCTCAAACGCAAAATACTGGAAAGGCAAAAAACAAACTGTGAGACTTAAATCATTTTTGCTTCACTGATTATCTTTTTTAATGGAAGTATTTATAACTCTTCTTGTCACATAAAGAAAGCAATGGAATTTCTATTTTAAAATAATGGAATATTAGATTCCATAGATACACTTCTAAGTGGAAAAAATCTGTAATCCTGGGCTACTTTTAAATAAAGATTTTAATATAGAAAGAGTATACAAACAAATTTGGCAACTGTTGTGGGACTAAACATTAAAGCTGTGAATCCATGTATATGGGTACCTTTAAATTTAAGATGACAGATAACTAAGAACGATAGCAGGTAGAGTCCGTAAGTAATACCTACTCTTTCTGAATTCACCACAGAAGGCAATACCAAGAGCAACTTAAATGCTTTGGGTAGAAAATATACACTGTGACTCAAAAAGTACTCAATATTTCTTAAATTTATCTAACCACAGAAATGCTTTAAAAAAAAAAAAAAAAACCCAGCTTGTAAGATAGGCAATAAACTTTGAGTAATAATAGATGGATAATACTTGCATCTCATTAGTACTATCTATTTAATGCATGTATTTGTCTAGCTAAATTTGTGTATTTTCAAAGACTGAAAGTGTGCCATGTGCATTTTTCCTCCTATCATCTTCTAATTGCCAGATAATATGCTAAAAACTTTGTATTATCTGAAATTTTGCATTATATTGATCATACAAGCATATGAACTATTATTCTCATTTTATACACTGGAAGTTTGAAGCCAAGAGAGGTGGGGCATTGTTCAAATTCACTCAGCCAATAAGTTGTGGAAGTGAGATACAAACTTGAATCTGTTAAACTGCCAGGGGATGGATCACCTGGTATATACTAGGCACTTGATATATATTTAAAAACTAATTCTTTTCTTTGCTACCAACAATATTCACACCCAGAGTGATTTTAATATCTTCAACCCTGTGACTACATGGTATATTGAACTATTTTTAAATATATATTTTTTTAAAAACAAAGCTATTTTTAAATGTTTTTATAACTGAAAAATGCATCTGCGGTTATTAAAAGAATAGTTTCAGTTTTCTTTAAAAAATAGACTTCTGTAAAATGCTGGTTTTATTTTAGTGAACTAAAGCTTGGCTTTAAGTTAGGCTGCATGAAAAAGTCACCTCTGAAACAGTTCTTCTTTATCATAAATAATCTAGAAGCTGAGTCATTTTTTGTTGTTCTGTCACCTCTGAGAATCTGGATTGGTTAATCATTTCAGAAAGTGAGCTATGTTTTCAGTATTTCCTTTTCATTCTACTTGAAATAAATGACAAACTATATCATAACTCAATGATCATATCCATCCATGCCATATTTATTCAGGAAAATCAGTTAACATACTTAAATTCATATATATGCATATGTTATTTTTATAATCATATACACACAATTATGATAACTGCTGCTTTGAGGGTTTAATAATATAACTATCATTGGCTCCCTCTGTAGGCTTGGCTCCCATAAATATCTTCTTAAGTGGATAAAATTGTATATTTGACACATCAGATTCCTGTGTTATGTCCTTTGCTTTGAAAGTACATCTGGTTATTGGAGTGTTGGAAACATATGGGAAAAAAATTGGAAAGATAAAAGAAACATACTGGGAAACTAAAAAAAAATCACCTGAATTTCAATTCAACTATACTTTAGTAAGGTTCTTTGATCATCAATCCTCTCACCAAATTTTTTTTACCTGAAATTTCTCTGCAAAGCAATCACAGCAGATGGAAGCTTCTTTAATCTCTTTCTTGTCTGAAAACCCTTCCAATAGGCTTGAATCAAGCATGCTGCTTGATGTAGTTTCTGAAATTAAAAATAATTTAGAAATATATCTAGGAAGGTCTTTTTTTTTTTTTTTTTTTTTTTTTTTTTTTTTAAGTTTACCTCTTAAAGTATCAGGTCAAGGCAAGTATTAATCTCCAGCTCTAACAAGATGGGTAAGAATATTAAACCTTACCTCCCAAAGGAGGTATGTTAGGGTTAGTAAGGCAATTTCTAGAACATGTTAAAGATATACTCTAGTTAGCTCCAAATTCTCCTTGAATAATCTCACTTCCATTTCCTTTTCAAAGATTTCACAGTTCTGCCTGACCTTTCATAATCCTTTTTGAGATAACATGTTAATGTTTTTATTTAATAGGCAATCGACCTAGTTAGATTCAAACTATAAGCTCTGTTGATCCTTGTGGATGATTGCTTGAATCTCTGCTTAGTTCTGCAAGCCTTTGGAATGCTAGCCTCCTGATAGACCATTGGGCTTAAAAGGCCAACAAACTGTCTAAGTTCTAGACTGAATTCTGTCCCAGTTTCCTGTTTACTTAGTAGACTTTTGAGTCCTGAAATGGAAAAGCAAAGGGTACAACTATTAATAATAAAATAAAATTTTATGATTTTGTTACCTAATCAATATGAATTTGAGCACATGTATAATTTTGAGATTAACCTAAATTCTTGCTGGTTCATATATATATGAAAAAAGAAATTCCCTTCTTCTGTACTCTTCCTTCCAGGCTCTCCAATTCACTGCCCTGCCTTACCAGACTTCTTTTCATGGTTTCTGCTTGCATTTTTAAATTTGTTGCCCTTTTGGTCTTAGATATACAATGTCACCTTTTCCTTTTAAATTAAAAAATATCTTTAGTCATTTTAGATGTTTTCCATATTTGAGTCTTTATCTGGAAATCAGAAAGGTATATGCCTCTTCCTATTGGACTGGGCTATTTAGATCCATCATTTTGAGTATACTAGAGGAAGTATGATGAAATAATCAATAACTTGCTGCCTCAAATTTCTAAATATTTTTTATTAATAGTATTTCTTACACAAAGGAAAGGCATTATTGTTGTATCTTAAAGAAAAAGAAGGGTAGCCATAGGTGATCATAAATATAGTTTGCTACAATCAGAGATTTTTTGGAAAAAGAAATTTAAAAGTTTAAATAGCTTATAAATAAAAGAAGATAAACATCAGAGATGGGGCTTTCATGAGAAATGCTGAATGAAACTGATGTGGCAGTATCTATAAGCAGATGTAAATGGGAGACTCAAATTGCGTTTTAGGGTAGGTTGAATAGCAGAGAGATATAATTTTGTAAAATTATATTTTAAAGATGGGGTTTTACTATGTTGACCAGGCTGGGCTGCAGTGGCTATTCATGGGTGTGATCATAGGGGAGTCTCCAATTCCTGGACTCAAGCAATCCTCTTGCCTCAACCTCCTGAGTAAAAATTTTGAAGATATTTCTATTTTGGGGGTATTTTGCTTGAAGTCTTAAGAGAAAGTAAGTGAGGAATATTTAAGGAAAACTAAGGTTTAATACAGTCAGCAAATATCATGCAATTTTTTTTTTTGGTAACTTAATACCTGCTCTTCTACTTCCTGATAGACCGTTGGGCTTAAAAGGCTTACAAGCTGTCTAAGTTCTTTACTGACTTCTGTCCCAGTTTCCTGTTTACTTAGTAGACGTCTGAGTCCTGAAATGGAATAGCAAAGGGTACAACTATTATTATAATAATAAAATATGATTTTGTTATCTAATTAGTATTAATTTGAGGCTAAAAAGTCTGGCTTAAAAACAAATGAAAACAAGATTAATCACATGATTTTTCATTTACCTTTTCTCACAGACTTCTAGGTTGAGGTCTTTAAGATAGCTATCTGTTCTGAGAATTCCTACGTGCTAAACTGTGAGATCTGATTAAAAAAAACTCTGTCTAGACAATCTCTTTAATAAAAAAAAAAAAGAGGAGGATGGAATCACTGTGGTAAAACAAAAAGTAGAGATAGTTTTTATTTTGTTTGAACCTAAGTGTCTTAAATAGAAACATTGTAAAGATAATTACTATAAACACATATTCAGTAAATGCTTGCCCTGTGGAAGCACTTATGCAGATTATTACTAGTCACTATTAATTGAGAAATATTACTATTAAATATAAACTTATGGTAACATATATAGTTTGGGGCAAATCAATAGGTTCCTGAGAAAACATTATAGGTGAAGTGCTATAACACTAGGATAGTACATTTTCATGACAAAATAATACATAATAGTAGTAAAAGGTACAAAGTAAGTACTGTTTCCAGGTTATGTGGAAATGATGTATTATAATGTATGTATATTAAAATAAATACATAAGGCAAAATTGCCTTCTAGTGTATAATTAGGGAAACCACTATATGAATCTTTTAATGCTTTATACTCTCTTCAAGACCCAAGTTCTTAGCAGTATTAATAATTGTAAAATATCTTCAGGAATCTGAATAAGTTCTGCTATTGAGATACATCAAAGAAAGGGAGAAGGATCCAATCATTATAAAATTCCTTTATAAAGACTTGTTGGACATTCACATTTCTTTAGCAATCCAATTACAGAATTGAAAAATGTCTATCTGGCACAATATCAACTAAAGAGCTCTATTACTGGTACTTTCCCTCTCTATTCCTACAATACCCCCAGTAATGACTAATGCAAGGTACATTATTACAATGTCTTCAAAATCATCAAGAATGATAAAGACTTTCTAATTGTTTAGGTATTAAATGCATCATAGTATATTATAACCTTTAAAAATTCCCATACAGTATAACCCTATATTAATAAGTATATTTAATGAAATAGAAACCCATTTCCTATCCACACTGAATAAGAAAAATAGATTATAATACATACATGGCTCTGGTCAGCAAAGAAATAAAACAGATAACATAAACCTTTGCTTGGCAATTACAAATATATATATACTACTTTGTGATCTTTGGCAAATTACCATGTCTTTGTTTCTGTATCTACAAAATAAGGATAAGTATCTATCCCATAAGATTGTTGTAAAGGTTAAATATTTTAATGCATATAAAGTATATAGAACAGTGCCTGACACACAGTAAATGCTCAATTAAGTGGAAGCTATTATATGAGAACAGTAATATACTGACTCCTTTCATCCTCAAAATTTCTGACTTTTAATTCACATATGTATTTGATTTTGGAGGTAAGGCAAATTTTTTCTATTTGTTTTTGAGAAAAGGCAGTGTTGAGTAATTATTAATAGTTCAAAATACCAAAAGGGCTACTGGCCTCTCAAGCACAGCTCCATTTTCTCCACTAAAACTGGTCTTGATAAGGTCACTGATCTTTTTGGTCATTATTTTACTATACTATATGGTGTATTCAACACACAACCTTTTCGTCAGAGAGGGAGTAAATATTTATTGCAACCTGATCAACAAAGTACCTACCACATGCCATCTGTATTGACATGAAGACAGCTTGATTATATAAAGACTGTCTTCTGAATTGGTATCTGTTGTGAGTTTTATCTACATAGTTCAGTTATTAACTCTTCAAAATATAAGAATTTTGTTTTTCATAAACCATCAATAAACATTTTCTTTTTGAGAATCCCATGAAAAGAAAGAATGAATGCAGTACCTTTGTAGCAGGCACTTTGTCTCAGTAAAATCAAAATTTCCTGATGGGATTCAGCCATCAACAGTAGGAGTTTTGTAGCAGTACTTCTGATGACTGGACTAGAAGTTGAAAAAAGCTTGAAAATAACTTCATCTAAAATGGAATGCAGGGCTTTTCCTCCTATTCTGAGTAAATCACCACTAATAGAACGAAATTTAAAAAAGTACCATTACTAATTGATGCACAGGTATCACAACAAATTTAAAATAAAAGATTCAGTAACTTAATGCTGGACTGTGTCCTGATCCAAGAATATAACCACTTTTTAAAATACATAGGTTGATTCCAAGAATATATCATATTCAGTCACTTAATATTTATTGAATTTCTACTATGTCCAAGGTACCATGTGTGCTAGGTACAATAGAGAATACAAAGTAGTCAAAGGCCCTCTCTGTAGAGAATCCTTCAATCAAATCAAGGAGGAAAGGTAAATGTGCAAAATATTAAATAATAAATAATTCAAAAGCTTCAAGACAATGATAAAAGTGAAATCAAGACAAGTACACAGTTAATTGTTAAATAATGTACAAAGACAAAAATGCCATAGGAATTCTATCATGTTCTTAATATAGGAGAAACTTAAATCTTTCCTTGGTATTTCCTTCATTATACTAACAATCTCATCTTGCATTACTGATGTCATGGAAAATTATTTAAAACTTAGAATTAGTCAAAAGAATGGGGTTAGTGAGTGTCCTTTCACTTATACCCTTAAGGAGCATGTGATTTTCTAGGCATATGTACCTCTGTTTTATTTTCTACTCAGTATTAAAATATTTTACAATTCTGTAAAAATAGAGGTTGGCTGGTAGAAAACAATGCCAAAAATTCCTATCTAAGAACAATGTAAACAGAATCTTATTCAAAGCAATACAAATGATTTCTGTCCAGTAGACAAAGGTAATTCTAAAGGCTACATTGCTTTACAAGACATTAAAGTCATATTTTCCAATTAGCAAATTTAAAAAATATCTACCAGCAAATTGATTTCTATGTTCCTTTGACAAAGCAACTCCATAAATCTATTTTCCGCAAATTCTCCTTTGAACCTGTATAGATATCTTATTTGTTCCCTCATTAATTAATGAGATGAATAAAATTTTGAGCAGTTAAAATTTATATTTGTGTAAGACTTATGTTTGAGCTTTTTGAAAATTGTACTTTAGTAATGACTAAAATAATTTTGTTAAGAGAAAAAGTGATCAGCAAGATACCTTAAATGTAAAAATCTTTAGGTTGAAAGACTTTATAAAGTTACCCAATCAAAATATGTGAGAATCTCTGACATCTACTTCTGTGCCACTTTGTCTTTTAAATAGTATTCCCTATGCCTAGGATGGTCACCCTTTCCCATCAGTCAATGTTATCACACCATTCAAAACTCAGATAAAAAATATGCTCATCTCAGAAAGCCTTCCACAGATATCTCCATCCCAATCTGGTCACATCTTTACTCCATATCCTACCAAGAGTTTGTGAGTTTGTGCTATAATGTTAATATGCTAGTTTAAATGCTTTTAGATGCTCTTCAACTTCCTAATCTTAAAGACATCCTCTCTATACCACTAACTACCATCTTATCTCTCTGCTTCTCTTTTAATCCAAAATTCTCTGTCACCACTACCTCACTTCTCATTTCTCAAACCACTACATCTGGTTTTCATTTTTTTACTATTTCACTATAGTATCTTTGATAAGTTCATTTCATCAGTATAACCTCCAAATGTCAAGTCACATATATATTATATGTGATTATTTTCCTAGACTTGTTTGTATCTGATACTCTTTACCTATTCAGCTTCTGTAATACAAAGTTCTGGTCTCCCCTCTACCTTCCACCCATACTTTTCTCAGCATTCTTTCTCATTTGTCTTTATGGACTCCACTTCCCCAGTATAACACTAAAAGGTTATTCGCCAAGACTCTGTTTTCAAGCCATTTCTTTTCTCTCTATTCATACTTCCTACTGATCTTGTCTTCTGTCATGTTTTTCACTACCATGTATAAGCTGATTTGTAAATCTGTAACTCTAGTCCAGATCTCTTGCAGAAGTCAGTTTACTCATTCACCTAATGGACATTTGAGTTATTGCTAGTCCTTGGTTATTACAAATAAACCTCAATGGACATTTGTGTATAAGTCTTTATATAGATACTTTTACTGACTGTTAAACTACCTATACACAACATAACCAACATTGAATTCATCATCTGTCTCACAAAACCAACTCCTTATATATTCAACATACCACAGTCTATCTAATCAATATAGAAAGCTTGGTATCATACCTGACTGCACATTTTATCTTATCTACCTCATATCAAAACATTCACCAAGTCCTCATAATTTTTGTTTTTAATAGCTTTTTAAAAATATAATTGATATATAACAAACTGCACATATGTAAAGCATATACTTGCATCAGTTTGACATGTTTCACCAACATAAAACCAGAAAATGAATATATCCATCACCCCACAAAGCTTCCTTGTATTTCACTGTAGTTCCTCCTTTGTCTTCCCTATTATTCTATCCCCAGTTAACAACTGATTTGTTTTCTGAGAAACTTCCCTTTTATTACAACTTTGCTGAGAGGCTTTTTTTTTTTTTTTT